TTGGAGCTGGTCAAGGACTACGACTGCACCATTAGCTATCACCCTAGGAAAGCTAATGTGGTACCCGACGCCCTTAGTCGGAGGAGTTATGGCCAGCTATCTTGCTTGTTCACCGGGCAGGATGTCTTTCTTCGCGAGTTCGAGCGATTACAATTAGAGGCAGTGGAGTCGACTTCGACAGCCGGGGGCGTGTTGGCCTCTTTTGTTGTGGGACCGACTTTTAAAGAGAGGATAGTCGCCGAGCAACTGAATGACCGTTTCTTATGCCGGATGAGAGAGTTGTCAGAAGTCGATAGAGTTGGTGGATTCGTAGTCGCATCTGATGAGGCCCTGGTCTTCGAGGGTAGACTTTGTGTTCTGAATGTGTGGGAACTGTGAAGAGATATTTTGATGGAGGCCCATAATGCTCCATACGCCATCCATCCTGGTAGCACGAAGATGTATCAGGACTTGAGGAAGTCTTTCTGGAGGCGAGGCATGAAGAGGCAGGTAGCGAAGTTCGTGGGTGGGTGCCTGGTGTGTCAGCAAGTGAAGGCTGAGCACCAAAAACCGAGAGGGTTGTTGCAGCCCCTTGAGGTTCCCCTGTGGAAGTGGGAGTGCATCACCATGTATTTCTTGATAGGACTTCCGAGGCCGAGGGCCGGGTATGATTCGATTTGTGTGATAGTGGATCGCCTTACGAAGTCTGTGTTAGAGGTATGCTGTAAAAGCTATGTTTTGCAGATTCTATCAATTCCATTTTGATCTGGCCATCATGTTTCGGTCAAAGAACATATGTTTGCAGTTTATTTATTTATGTAATACATACTCTATGTCTTATATTGAGGTAATGTGGTTTGAAATGTTTCGAACAGAAAGATCACATATCGGTTCCTTATAAGACTAAATCATTCGTTCACAGTCTAGACTAGCAGTGAGACTCCACTTGGAAAAAGACTATAGTGTATTCTTGATTCAGATGGTCTTTGACTGAAGAATTACACTAGCACTTATGTTAGGTGTTGAACAGGACCACGTAAGGCAAATGTTTTGAGACTCACTGACCTTTGTTGTAACCTCGTCCTTCAGTGATTGATGTGTTCTCTTAAGCCGTTCTCTTAAGCCGTAAGATAATATAAAATAGGCATATATTTTTATTTCTTATTT